GGCATTCGGTTAAGAAAGTCCAAGATGTATCCTTAACAAACTTAGATAACACATTGTAGTGCTTGACAGTATGTACTTTATCAACCTACTTTTCGGCGTACTCCGCATAGCACATGTAGTCAAAGAGTAGAGTAACATGATCGCTACGACCCAGTGGTATGCTTGTAACTATCCCCTCAACCATGAGTTGTTCGTTAGTTAGCGCAAGATCCAGTATCGACGGCTGGTTAGCAGTTCGAAATCTGGTGGGAGAGGTTACGTGGTTGTACAGAGGGTGGCTAGCAATTGGCTCTTGCAAGCACGCTTTAAACGGCGTATCGCTGGTTACCGGTGTTTCTATGTCGTGCACGGCAAAGTCTCCAGCGATAAGAATATGGATGTAGGACTTGTTCAAAGCAAACTGAATTACGCGATTCAGTTTGGAATCAATTTCCAACGTTGAGTTTAGCGGGCGATAAATCACGGCTAGTAGACATGTGTGCTTGTTTCGCAACCATAGGCGGCAATAAAGCGAATCAGGAGCTCGGATTTCCGGGTGATCGATAACTTCACATCGGAGGTTTGTATTATAATAAAGAATCACACCGCCACCCCTTCCGGTTCTATCGGTTCGAAGCAGCGACATATCGGGTAAATTGATCTCAGAATCGGTTATCTCAAGATTTAACCATGTCTCATTAATCATGACGAGGTCACGCGGTTGTGAGACATGGAGTTCTCTATATTCGACCAAATTACTTAGAATGCCTTGGGCGTTTGTGTACATGCAAGATAGGGTTTTGGTTGTTAAGAGTGCGTTGATCGATGTCCACTATGTGTTACTTTTGAAGCCGGCCGTTAGGTGGCCGGCAATTAATCGTTTTTTGATTTATGTATTTCAGTCGTGTTGCATGGCATTTTTAAGTGTTCCTGAACAGAAGTTTCACTGGTGCTCGGCTGTGCTCGGTCCTCCTGCGTGCCGTGGGCGCGGTTGTGTTTGTCTCGCCGCAGGACTGTGTAGATAAAGAATATGCAGCGTTTGCAAGTTCCATCGAATTGCTTCCGACCTTTGGCCGTTCGCTTGCTGCCTTTAGCCGGATCTCGGTTGGCAACCTAGCTCGGAACTTCAGCCAGTTATCCAACAGAATGTGCGTAATTCCCTCGGTGGGTAATATTACTTTCCTTAGTCTTGGACCGCAGCCCTTATAGTTTGGTGATGACGGGACTCTTGTCAAGGAGTTGGCAATAACATTGTGAACAGAGAGTGCTTCGCTGATGTAGCACCACTGCTCTCGGTCATGTGTATGCGCATCGTGATCAGAAGAATGCAGAAGCTCGGGAACACCATGAATAAATATTGTTTTCTTGCTATCCCTATTAGGAATGCCGCGTTGGTCAACTGCTTCTTTTGGGCGATCTTTTCAAGGTAGATCGGGTAAAATACGCACTCCGATCGGTGAGTTGCGAAGACGAACTGCTGAGAGCAGGACAGCCTCTGTCTCACCTGCTGAGTCTAGTGTTACTCGAAGACCTTGAGGCTCACCAGAGTGCACTGAGGTCGGGTGACGCGCTACGCGTTGCAGCATTGCAGGCTCAACCCGAATACCAATTGCATCGCAGATGGAACTCCACTGGTTGCGGTAGTCTTGCAACTTGCTTTTAATTGTGCCAGAATTGGACTCTGGAACATTGGTGCACACAAGAGTTAACGCAGCGTGGTTTTGTCTAGCGAGTGTTGGGTTTGTAGTTTGTGCAAGCAATTTGGTTTGTTTAGAAGGCACCACTGGATTGGACGGTGAAAGCTACGTTGCGCCACCCGTGCTAGGCGCAGAAGATGGACCTATGTGTGTCCCTCCCGGTGTGTTTGTCGAAGCAATCGATGCGTACGTTACCTGCTTGTTATCTGCACCGGATTGCCTTCGGCTCTGAGCTGTCGGTGTCATGGATGAATCTCTAGGCGAAGCTTCTATGGTTGGAGAAGTGGAAGCAGGCATGTTTGAGGCTTGTCCACTTGTGGGAGTGAGGTGACCCAGTGGATTTAGAGTCACAGACGCCGCAGTGCGGTTGGAGCGTCTAGCTCTCTTCTTCGGCTTAGATTCAGAGCTTACTTTGTGTTATGGGGACCCAAGGTCCCTATAATTATTACAGGCTTAAATTACGGAAGGCTGAAAACCCGATTCATACAAGTGCACATGTACTCGGATCAGACAAAACGCACACGTTCAATTAGCCTTCTAACTTGTGAAACATTCACATTCGTTTAGCCTTTGCACTCAGAAAACAGTCTCGTTTCCAACCAAACACTGATTGTTGTATCCAAGCAACATTTATTTTCCGGACAACTCTCTCCTAACTTCCAACCTTCCTGCTCAGTTTACGGACTTTGCATAGCTACATAAAACCATGTTTCTTGCTTCCAGGGTTTGCTTACGCAAACCTTTTCTAAGGGAAAAGCCCCTTCATCACCGTTTCGTGATATAAAAATGAGGCTGTACAACGCTAGAATCGCCTTAGCTTTGGCCAGTAAACGCGCCTGTGGCAAAAGGCCTGTCTTGTTCTTGATTCAGTCTTGGGTTGGGAAATCGTGCATAGAAACTTTGCGTTCGGTCTAGGAACCCGTTCGACTCGCGTGAATTAATCTTTCGCGGCTAAGTTCCGAGAACCCACAGAATTCGAGATTGTCAGTTACCGTGCTGTGCGAGAAAATAATTCTGAGTCTCGTTCGTTCATCCGACTAGGAGAGTTGGTATCACATTGTTAGAACCTGACGTATGCAAGAGGCAGTAATCAACACTTTGGTTGGGTGAGGTATTGGCGTGGCCATTTTTACTTGCGTGGGACCGAGCTTAGTATTTATAAAATGCGCGATTATCTCAGTCATCCTATCGCACTTTTTCATAAGCGAAAATAAACAGTTGACAACTGGAATGACTTGACTTGTTGGGCAAAACCAAATTGTGTCAGCAACTTTGTCTGTCTGTCTCAAGTATTGGACGAATTTGCCTACACATTGCCTACACTTTGCAGGTAGATCAAGTTACACTGATCTTAAGGACTTTACTGCAATTGGCTGCGCAACATAGGTCACAATGAACCATTGGAATGCTAGTCGTCCCCTTATTATTTACCGCAAGGCCTATCTAAGGGCTCACCATGATGAGTGTTCCCTGCACCAGGCGTGACGCACAAACAGGTCAGAACATGCACACGAACTGAGAGCTGTTCAACGGCACCAACGTCAGGCGGCAGAGGCAGATGGAGGTCGTAACGCGTAGACTGTCGGGTTCAGCGATCAATCGACTCGCAGTTGAACACACACATACCCACACAAAGCGGCAGCGTGTGTTAATCGGCTTACCTTAAGCGACGATGCAGGTGGAGCGCTGATAAGCGTCCCTAGAGCTGTTCAGTTGATGAGCGGAGCAAAAGGACCGTAACTTTGTTATGCTGCAACTTGCAGGGATGGTTGCCGCGTAGTTTGGGAGTCCTCAGCTTCTTCTTCCGAATGAGACCAAAATCTTTTCCGAAAAGCCCGTTTGGTGCAGTGACACACGTGGAACTCGGCAAAGAATATGCCGAAAACTGGAAACCGGATCACGATTATAATTCACACAGGTTAGATCCAAGAGTAGGGAAACACTGAGTAGAGCTCGTCGAACTGGTTCGAACGAGCGCACACAAATATTGTGTGGGGAAAATTGGAGTGGCCACAGAGGGCAAAGCGAGAGCCGAGTCAAGGTGTGGCCGCACGGTGTGATGCTGTGGTCTACACTAGGGCTCCGGCTCAGACGCTGTTATCCGGTGTAGACCGTAATGCAAAAATGGTCTTGCACAGGTAAAAAAGGATAAGACTACTGATTCCATTCCCATAACGAGTGCTTCAAAACGGATCCCTGCAATCAGTCAGTAACAGTTGGGACAAACGTTACCTGCCGCGACTAAAGTAGTGTAGATTTCGATTGACATCCCAACTACGCCAGGTTTGAATGTAGTCAGCTATCTCTACCTGATGAGACCAAGCAAGTTCGAAATCGCTCATCAAGTGCCGTGTTTTTCGGGCGGGCAATGACTCATTCTCATGACACTTAATAATTCCCCTTAGAATGGATGAGACAAAAACAACAAACTCAAGAAATATCTATTGAGAAGATTAATCACGTACAGTAAGAGGCAAGTGGTATTTGTATAGTAACAATAATATATTCACCTGATTGGAATTTGTGAATAAACTATCTGTTTTCGTTATGTAGCCCTCCTGCAAACACAGGTTGTATCGAGAAATCGAAGTGATGTATTGAGCTATCAAGTCATTTGTTAACAGACAATAACGTGGGGACATAAATAGTGTAAGCCATGAGAGAGTTTTGCGATTGACACACTGGAACTGACAAAGAGCTTCGGCAACATTCGAACCAGATCTACTTTTTGATCAGTTGTAAATGATAGCCTATCAAATTAATGTCATGACTGTCCTAGGGTGGTTACGTCAGGAACTGATAAGGTAATGAGAGGTCACTCCACAGGCACCTATACCGACAGCTGTGCAATAGTTGGGGTTTTGATCAGTAGTATTGATATAAAATTTATCTAGCCTCCTTAAACGCTGTGAAGTCTCTATCGTATCGAAATCGAGTCGCTACCATCGCTGTCATATCTGAGTCACGTAGTACTGGTGGGGTAGCAAAGAAGGCGTTAAAAATTCGTGGAAAGTTAAGTATCAAACTGATCAGATGGTTTCATAGGAAACTGTCTTGTTAACTACCAGCTTTCAAAACCCCGAGTTGTTTCGAAGAGTGGAGGTCACTCTGAACTAGTATTCAAGGTTACACTCATGAAATGAGTGGCCTCCAAATGTATGCACCCAAGGTGGCTAATGACTTACATGGATTATATCAACTCTAGCCGCATTAAACTGGAGTCGAGATTAATCACGCTTGGCGGGAGCTATTAGCTTACTGACTACTAAGCGGTTACCTTATTTTTGCATAGTGAGTACAAATAGTGGAAGATGAGGCGCTAACCTTATTCAAGTTCATTAAGAATAAGTGCGGATCCAGCAGCGAATCACCTGAAACACCACAGTCAAATTGAATTGCGTCGAAAAGTAATCCTTGCAGTTTCAGCTGCTGAAGGAAGTTGATGATCCACCGAAAGAAGGGATTCCCGTTTCTATAGCCGCGTAGCCCGTGAAGTAGGATGTGCTGATCCAAGCTATCGGAACTTTTGGAAGAATTTAGCTAAAGGACGTCGAGAATAATTCCACTATTAACCGCTTCCGTCCAAGCATCTTGTGTGATAAGTAGGTTGATGGTGCGTAACCGCAGTTGATGGTAGCCTTGCTAATCCAGTAGTGTGAGGTTGTATAACTCTAGCTTATCCACTATGACCTCAACGATGATCTCTTCCATCACTTTTGACAGTATAAGGAGTATGGTCACCGGGTGAGTGTGTGGATTGTGCATTGCTACTTCGCTTAAAAATTGGGGTAATAATTGCGGCCTTCCACGTAGTAGGGATTTGATACTCATCAAAGTCTCGGCTACCTTTGTAGCTGCAACCTCTATAGTTTTCGGTCAAACAGTATCTGTTACAGAAAAACTGCTGGAGAGAAGCGAAAGCTATTTCTGTACCACAGTTGCTAGAGCGATAAGATGAGTGCTGGCATTTGAGTACGCACCAACGAATATTGCGACAGCTTGCAACCGTAGCACACTAGCTGCCTGTTAGCGTTTCGTTCAATGTTGGATTCTGTGAGCTGCCTCAAGATAGCAGCACACCACACCAACTCTTTCAGAACACGCAGTTAGGTGAGACAATTGGTTTCCTTCATATCTGTGCAGTAGGTCATTCAATTTTCACTCATCGGAACTTAGAATTTAATGATCTGCACTTAGATCCATCAGATGCCAATATTTCTATATGTTTCTGTCACTATAAACAAGTGAGATCTTACTTATTACCTAGACTCATACTGATGATACGAACCGATTGATGGAGGGCGTGCATAAGTACTACGATGCCAAATAGGAAGGAAGATATTTCGTATATATATATATATATATATATATATATATATATATATATATATATATATATATATATATATATCGAAGTGCATGCCTTCACCGGAGGTGCGATCTTCAATATTGCCGCGAATCAGTATTGGTGCTGAAGTATTGAAAACCACCTCCCGCTTCAGCTACCTTGGGAGTGTGATGTCGACTGATCAGCAGCTACACGTTGAGTTGCGGATTCGCGCGTCGAAGGCGACGGCGGCATTCGGGAAGCTTGAGTACCGAGTGTGGAACAACCATCAGCTTAGCATTGGCACAAAGCTGATGGTGTACAAATCCATGGTACTGTCCGTTCTTCTATACGGCAGTGAAACGTGGGCGGTTTAGCGGCGGGATGTGCGATATCGCGAGCGGTTCCATCAGCAGTGTCTGCGACGAATTTTGCGGATCGGCTAGGGCGCCAGAGTTGCAGACACGGAAGTGTTGCGCCGAAGTGGGATGTATGCAGTGGACTACATACTTTTACTGAGACGCCTGAGATGGATCGGTCATGTGTGGCGTATGGATTCGACTCGGATACCGAAACAACTCCTATACGGTCAGCTGAGTATTGGGAAGCGGCACGTGGGGAAACCAAAGTTACGTTACCAGGACATGATCAAAGTGAGCCTCACCCGTTCTAATCTCGATTGCAGATAATGGGAATCGAAGGCGGTTGATCGGCATGCACGGCGCGATCTCATCACGAAGGCAGTTGCTGAAGTGCGGGAGAAAGATCTCATGTATGCAGAGAAGAAGCGGCATGTGCGGAAGCGGCAAGCACCGATGGATTGTACTCCATCGACATCGAGTGCATGGTGCTGTAGCACATGCGGTCGCGAGTGCCTGAGTCAGACAGGCTTAGTGAGCCATGAGCGAGGCCACTCGGGACTACTACCGAAGCGCCGACGGGTTCTGCAGAGAACGTAGGCAGAACCGGCGCAGTGTTTGTAGGTACGCTGCATTCAATTTACTAACCGCATGCTTGCATGCTAAGTCTATTTATTTCAGGTGGTGGGTTTTCAATTTTGCCAAAATGATTTTCTTTCCCATATAAATGCCTAGTTATACACTCTTCTATACACATGCACACGTCGCTTAAGCCACTTGTAGTTATTTCGATAACATTTTCGTGTTTGTAGCATTTCCGTAAAATAAACCTCCTGACCTCATGAACTGACCTCGTATTATTTTGTAAACGTATTCTTTTGTAGACAACTTATTTCATATGATCACTAATTTAAGATTTATATCACCGTTTACTTGCGTGCTAAGTCTGTTTATTTCAGGTGGTGGGTTTTCAATTTTGTCCCAATGTTTTGCTTTCTTATATAAATGTCTACCTGTACTCTCTTCTATAAAATTGCACATGTCAATTAAGCCAATTCTAGTCCTTTTCGAAAACATTTTTGTGTTCGTGGCATTTCCGTAAACTTTGCCTTCTGACCTCGTGAACTTATCTCGCATTCTTCTGTAAACAATTTACTTCAGATGATCATTAATTTAAGATATGTGTCAACCTTTCCATATGCATTAATCGAGTTATTTTCTTTGTTATCTTTCTCTCAAATGATTGGCTGTTGCTTGATATCCCCGGTGAGGCTGCGCTTGATGTGCATGTTGACAAGGTGCCCACCTGTCTATTACCCACTACCTCGTAAATACTGGCTCCAGGAGACAGTTGGTCGTTGCTGGATGGGACGGGGTGCACGGTCCTTGTGGCCGTGTTAGGCTCGAAGAGTGATTCAATGCACTCAGTGTGGAGCGGACTAGGGTCCAGCCACCGCCTTGTGTGCGATTGGTTCCCCAAATACAGGTTGCTTGTGTTTGCCTGTGAAGGAGTGTGGGCCGGCTCCGTTGATGAAACGTGGCTCCCATCCACATGCCTCTCGGTCTTATTCCTCATATATATATATATATATATATATATATATATATATATATATATATATATATATATATATATATATATGGTTGGCGGCATCCGGTTTCGGATTTGCCTGTTGCTGTGTTCAGCCACGGGACCCCTGCGCCTATTGAGAGACCATGGTTGGCTTGCGCTGCACAACCCACAGCTGCAACCACACACACCATATCCAGTGTAAACCCGAAGGAATAAGACCGGGAGGTCTGTGGATGTCAGCCACATTTCATCAAAGGCGCCGGCCCACACTCCTTCACAGGCAAATACAAACACGCTATATTTGGGGAATCAAGCGCAGACAAGACGGTGGCTGGACCGTAGTCCGCTCCACACTGAGTGCATGGAACCACTCTTCGAGCCTAGCACGACCACAAGGACCGTGCAGCCCGTCCTCTCCAGCAACGACCAACTGTCTCCTGGAGCCAGCATAGACGAGCTAGCGGGTAATAGACAGGTTGGCACGTTGTCAACATACACATCAAGCGCAGCCACACTGGGGATATCAAACAACAGCCAATCATTCAAAATGCCGCTATGGAATAAAGTAAGCGCATATGACGACATAAATACTCGTAAAAGGAGCATATGGAAAAAATTGGTCAAAGGTGAATACGCGATAGGTACAAAATGTCCAAAAGTTATATAAAAAATATCCAGCGATAAAATTACGCAAGTTTACCACAATTTGCATGAGCGAGGTGTGCATGTTGGGAGAAGGTTATGAAGTACGCCGATGAATTGTACTCCATCGACATCGAGCGCATGGTGCTGTAGAACATGCGGTCGCGAGTGTCTTAGTCAGGCAGGCTTAGTGAGCCATGAGAGAGGTCACTCGGGACCACTGCCGAAGCGACGACGGGTCCCGCAGTGAACGTAGGCAGCACCGGCGCAGCGTTTGTAGGCACGCTGAATTCGATTTACTAACCGCATGGTTGCATGCTAAATCTCTTTATTTCAGGTGGTGGGTTTTCGGTTCTCTACTAATGCCTTTCTTTCTCATATAAATGTCTAGTGGGCCATGCGCTGTGCCATTTGGGGCCACTACAGAAGCGACGACGGGTCCTGCAGAGAATTACGACGAGCCGGCGCAGCGTTTGTAGGCACGCTGAATCCGATTTACTAACCGCGTGCTTGCATGCTAAGTCTCTTTATTTCAGGTGGTGGGTTTACAGTTTTTACCTTAATGCTTTTCTTTCTCATATAAATATCTCCCTGTACTCTATTCCATTAACTTGCACACATCGCCTAAGCCAATTGTATTCGATTTCCGTAACATTTTTGTGTTCGTGGCATTCCGCGAACTATACTTCCTGACCTCGTGCACTTAGCTAGGATTTGTTTGTAAACAACTTATTACGTATGCTATTTAATTAAGGTTTATGTCACCGTTTCCTTATGCATTAATCGAGTTATTTTCATTGTACCTCTCTCTCAAGTGATTGGCTGTTGTTTGATATCCCTGGTGTGGCTGCGCTTGATGTGCATGTTGGCAAGGTGCCTACCTGTCTGTTACCCACTAACTCGTAAATACTGGCTCCAGGAGACAGTTGGTCGTTGCTGAAGCGGACGGGGTGCACGGTTCTTGTGGCCGTGTTAGAATCAAAGAGTGTTTCCATGCAGTCAGTGTGGAGCGGACTAGGGTCCAGCCACCACATTGTGTGCGCCTGATTCCCCAAATGCAGCGTGCTTGTGTTTGCCTGTGAAGGAGTGTGGGCCGGCTCCGTTGATGAAACGTGGCACCCATGCACATGCCTCCCGGTCTTATTCCTTCGGGTTTACACTGGATATGGGGTGTGTAGATGGAGCTGTGGGTGGTGCAGCGCAAGCCATCCATGGTACCTCTGTAGGCGCAGGCGTCCTGTGGCTGGCCACAGTGACAGGCAAATCCGAAACCGGATGCCGCAACCATGCCGCCATGCTGTGCCCCATGCTGAGGCTGATGTTGCATTCTTGATGCTTCTTCACCGCAGTTGGGCTAAACCAACTTACACTTAAACTAGGTCTTTTTAAGCTGGCTAAATTTCATTCCGCTTTATTTGGTTTGTTCTGCCTTCTTGAATAATGTTCTATTAACTGGCCACGTTGCTTACACTAATTGCGCTTATCTTCGGTAATTTTGTTGCGTTTGTAGCATTTTAAGTAACTTGTGGACATTTCTTACATATCACGGATTTGTTGCTAACCAACTTACTTCATATGGTAATTTAGCGAAGATTTATGTCACCGTATCTGTATGCATTATTGGATTTATTTTATTTCAGCTTGTCGTTTAGTGAATGGCTGTTATTTGATATTTCCGGTGTGGATGCGCTTGATGTGCATGTTGGCAAGGTGCTTACCTGTCTATTACCCACTACGTCGTCCATACTGGCTCCAGGAGACAGTTGGTCGT